TGTGCACTATTGGATTTGAGACAGGAACAGAGCAAGTCAGGGGCTAGGGACGGGAGGGAGAGCCACAGTGGTTTAAATAGGGGAGGGTGGGGAGTGCGGTGACGTGGGTGGGGGGAGCAGGTATTTACAAGAAGGCTCAGGGGGCCAGAGGCTCATCTTGGAATATTTTATAACAATATAAATAAGATTCTGGTTTGCTTTTCCTTTTCGTCTCGTAAAGGAAAGAGAAGTGCAGAGTTCGATTCTGTACAAGGGGGCAGCGGCGGAAGGCCGGCCGGGCGGGTCACTGGGCGTCCACCCGGAAGGACAGCAGCTTCTCGGAATGCATGTTGTTCAGGGTCCGCAGGTCCGGCAGCTTGAGCAGCAGCTTGGTGAAGCGGGAAGTCTCCGAGGGCCGGTTCTTCAGCACCAGAGCCCGAAGAGCCCGCAGCAGCGTCTCCTGGAGGTGCTCCACCGAAGCGGGATCCTCCATTCCAGAACGGTCTGTGGAAATGAGGACAGCAGTGAGACAGGCTCCCTGAGCTCCGAGGAGGAGGAGGAGGAGGAGCAGGAGGAGGAGCAGGAGGAGGAGGAGGAGCAGGAGAAGAAGAAGAAGAAGGAGGAGGAGGAGGAGGAGGACCCTGGTGCAGACCTGCCAGGCACATCAGCCTCTCCCTGAAGCCCCCTAGCGGGCCTGCGGGAAGGAGAAGCGATCGCGTGCATCTCCTCCTCCCGCCTCCCTCCCTGCCCGCACAGCGCAGATGGACCACACAGCGTGGCCGGCGCCCTTGCCTTCGCTCTGTAGTTCCCTCTGCCTGGGACGCCCTTCCCCGTCTGCCTGGCAACATCTTCCTATCCTTGGAGGCCCCATCCGAGTGCCACCACCTTCCCCAGCTCCCCCAGGCAGAAATAGTTGTCTGTGCTTTAGTTCTTCTGCTGTGACACATATCTCACTGTTGGATAATTAGTCGGGCATGAGTCTTGTTTCCCAAGCTAGACTGTGTCTCAATCGTGTCTGTACCCCCAGTGCCCGGTGCGGGGCCTGGCATAGAATAGGTACTCCATAAAAGGTGTGTTGAATCCGACTGCCTCTGCCTCCTCCCGGGTCAGGCGTGAGCTTTCCGTACCTGCGGAGACCAGCACCACGGCAGTGAAGAGGCCCAGCTCCTCCTCAGTGAGTGCCAGGGAGTTGAGCTTCTCACTGAAGTCGAACATGGCACTCAGCAGGTCTCCCATGCCCATGGCGCCCAGCTCCTGCAGGCTGTAGGTGGTGCGGCTCAGGAACATCACCGTCTGGTCCTTCACGTTAAACAGCGATGCGAAGCGCACCATCAGCACCTGCAGTGGGGCGGCGATCCAGGGTGAGGTGGGAGGAGCCACTGCCAAAGCACCCCGAAGTTTGCCAGAGGGTGTAGTGGTGCTGCCTTACGTTCTCCGTCTGGGAGACACTGGGTCAGCCGTCAGTGCCCCGCCCTCTGGAGGCTCCGCCCACCCCAGGCACCGGCCACGCCCCTGGGCTCTTCCCAAGGTCAAGCACAGGGAACACCAAGGTCACTTACCTCAAAAGTGCCGGCCTTCAGCAGGGTGACCTGGTCGTGCTGAGAAAGGTCGCGGAAACCCGGGATGTGCTTGGCAAACTCGACCACCTCTCGCACAGCGGGTGTGAAGCTCAGAGAGAAATCCTCCCAGATCTCCTGCACAGTCCGGCCACTTCGTCCGTGGGGGTACATGTTCATGGGGCAGGCCTGGGTAAGAGCAAGGTAGGGCGGGCGTCAGCCAGACAGAGCCCTGGGAGGCTGGCCGGGCCGGGGCTGTGACCTCGGAGCACGGGTGAGTCAGGAACACAACAGGGCAACCCCGCCCGCCGTAGCACATGCCCTCACCAGTAGGACGTTCTTGGCGCTGCCTTGCCGGGGACTGTTGGCAGGTGCCTCGCCCTCTGGGGCTGCATACATATGGGTGGGGCAGAGACGGTGCCCGTTGTTGTTGGGCTGGTGGCAGCTGTGATGGGCAGGGCCAGGCGGCCAGGCAGGAGGGTAGGAGGAGGGGGCCTGGCGTAGACCATTCAGGGCCTCGTTGTGATGCTGGGCAGCCAAAGTGTTGTTGTCATTGGGGACAGGAGGGCAGCACTGACTCTCCCAGCGATGTGGGGTGGTAGCCGAAGGGCTCCCCGATGCATGGTTGGCATTGAAGTTGCCAGACGAGGGCCCCAGCTTATCGTGGGCATAGGTGAAGATCTCTCGATGGGCCCGGGCCACTTGGGATATCACATCCTCCACGGTGGGCTCGGGGCTTGGGGATCTAGGCGGTGTCAGCTGCTGTGGGAACTGGGAGAAGCCCACCAGGGGGGAGGGGGCCGGAGCTGGAGGGGGGGAGGGGCCCA